TTTTATCTACCTGATTTCTCATAAATTTGAGGCATTAGAATGCTTTAGAAAATACCTTAACATTATTGAGAACCAGTTTAATAGTAAAGTTTAGACATTATGAATCGATAGAGGTAGAGAGTATCTCTCAAAACAATTCAAGGCCCTCTATGAAGAGAAGAGAATAGTAAGACAGCTTATCATCCTCGGTACTCCTCAAAAAAATGGAGTTGCTAAAATGAGAAACCAAACTCTTCTTGACATGGTTAGGGCTATGATGGCATAAGTAAACCTACTAATTTATTTTTAGGGGGATGCATCAAAGACAACTGCCTTCATACTTAACTGTGCAATGTCCAAATCAATCATAGGCACACCTTATGAATGTGGATAGGTCACAAATTAGACTTAACCATCTTATGACCATGGGGGTTAGCAACTTATATCTACGATTCTTCCTATAAACATGAAAAATTTGGTCATAGAGAAAAGAAGTGTATATTCATAAGATACTTTAAGCACTCAAAGGTTTATATATCTTCATTGGTGAAAATGATGACAGCTTAGTGACTAGGATTGAAATAAGGGAATATTTTTAGAAGCTAAATTCCCTAGCAAGGGAGAGATTGATAGATCTCAAAATCTCTATGAGATTGATGATTGACGTAATGAGGAACTAATGAATATTCCTTAGTTTGTTGATCTGAGTGGGAGAGATAAGCCATTTTCACATAAAAACCTTATTCAAATACAAGAAGAGAATCTTGAAACCATACTTTGGAGAAGTAAGAGAGACAAATCTCTGAGAAGAGGATTCTTAATTTAAAGAGCAACATTTATCATTGGCCTAGATGGAGATGATAAAGAACCTAGAAGTGTTAAAGAGGCACTGATAGGACCTACTTAGAAAAAATTGGCAAAAGGCCATGCAAGAGGAAATAGATTTCATGAAAATTAACCAAGCTTGGTAATTGAATGACTTACTGCCAGGCCGTAAGGCAATTGAGAACAAATGGGTTCTCAAATATAAAAGAAAGGGGGTAGATCAATAAATAAAGCAAAAGCCCACTTGGTAGCTAAGGGGTACACACAATAAGAAGGTATAGAGTATGAGGACACTTTCTCACCAATTGTGCATTTCAACTTAATCAAGTTAATTATGGCTATAGTAGCAAGGTTAGACTTGGGATTACATTAGATGGATATAAAGACTACTTGTCTCAATGGAGAATTAGATGAGGAAATTTTTATGAAACAATTATAAGGTTTCATATAGAAGGGTAAAAAGCATAAAGTGTGCATACTTCTTTGATCCAATAAGGATTGCAGCAATCATCTAGGCAATGGAACTTGAGATTTCATAAAGCAATAACTTCATTCAACTTTGAAATGATCAAAGACGACCATTGCATGCAAATTAATCAATTTAGGGGTGAATATGTCACATCATCCCTGTCTGTCGATGACATATTGTTAGCCAGAACTAGCCTCAAGGTAGTTAAAATAGATATATGAAAGATATCCTTGAATTTTTGAAATATGGGTGAAGCAGAATATATCTCGAGAGTTAAGATAAATAGAGATCATCTAAGAAAATGGTTGTCTTTGTCATAAAAGACCTATGTAAGAAAAATCCTTGAACATTTTAACATAAGAGACTGCAAACCCATAGACACTCCTATGGTCAACGATCATAACCTAATTGAGGATATGCACACCATTAAGGAATCTGACATTCAATGTATGAAACGAGTCCCATACTCAAGCGTAGTTGATAGTTTGATATACATTATGCTGTGTACTAGACTAAATATTTGTTATGTGGTTAAACTTATGAGTCATGTTTTTATTCAACCCAAAAGTCAAGCATCAAGAAGCTGTAAAAAGAATAATGAGACACTTGAAATGGACTATGGACTATGAGCTGTGTTTCTAAGGCTTTAGTGTGCTTTGGGAAAGGTTACACAAACACTGGCCATGCAGGAGATGAAGATATTCAACTTTGAGATGTTCATTCTTATTGAATAAAGCCATCTCTTGGAAAACCAAGAAATAGACATATGTGTCTTTGTCCTCCATAGAATCAAAGTATATAGTGTACTTTGCCATAGTTTGAGATGATTCGTAGAATGATAGGGAATAAACTATAGAAAAAGGTCTAATCCTGATGCACTGTGATAGTCAAGGCTAACATAGCTTATGCTAAGGACCTTAAGTATCACAGTAAGACTAAATACATAGATATCAAATATCTCTTGGTTAGAGATATGATTGCTAATGAGAAAGTTATTATTCAATGCATATCTACCCATAAGATGATTCCTTTACCAAATCCATAGCTAATGATCCACATATAGAACATGTGAAAGTTTTGGGTATGCAAAGAGTGTGATATATTGAACTCAATATGCATTTTTTAGTAAACATAAGTATAATGGTATACAATATTCAAGTGTACCATACAGGTTTGAATGGTTGGTTCCTTCACATGAACAATCGCCTTAAATGCTTGAGAGAAGTAAAGGAGATGAGACATAATATGACCACCACCCATTTAAAGAGAATAATGGAATGGTTAAGACGAATTATTTAATGAATGTCGCCTTGAACAATGGTATCAAGATGAGATATGGAACCTGAAATCTAGATCGAACCATGAATGCTTGCAATCTATGATGCCTTTAGCTAAGAAAAGGAAAGGATGTCATGAGTGATTCATAGAATTCTGGTTCAAATATTGTGTGTATCTAAGACTCAAGCTTGAACAATGTTGATAAATCAAAACTAACATATGTTTTTAAGAGAGAAACATCATGGCATGCAATTTATAATGCATGTGCTTAAATTTTGACTGCAATAATGGAAGTGGATGGAAGGATCTCTATTTCAACATCATGTGAGTTTGAGTAAGGAGAAAAATCCTTTCATGGTACCTTTAGGACTTAGACAATGTCATAAGAGGATGACTTAGTAATAGCTACTTTAGCTTGTACCCTATGGTCATGAATGGTTCGATCTAATAGGCCGAGTACTGGGAAAACGACTAAGTCAAACTTGATTGACATAAGGTTTAAAGAAATATTAACCCTAAAATACACAATTATGCTTGTGTCTAAGACATGTTCCTTACAAGTAAAGAACTTGTAAGTATAGATATTAAGTATATGAGAAGGAAATCTAAGTTAAATAAATAACTCAAGAGATATGCCATGAGTAATTTGCATGGGTAAATCTAGGGTGCTTAAAGCAATTTATAACTATAATGCATATATACAATAAGATGTCTTTATGTGCTGATCCTATCATATAATTTCTAGTGCACAAACATCCAAATCAAGGACTTCGTGCCCACATAGTCATGGCAGAGCACCAAGTATGAAGGAAAAGTGATGGAGTTCGCATGATGATAGTCTTATCAAGTGCGAGTGGGAGATGTTAGAATTTTGAATTAATTTCAGCCCATGATGAGTCATAACTCCGATCATGATAAGTTGACCAGAATCTAATATTAATGTGTAATTAATAGCCAGAAAAGGAAATAATCCTTCTCATAATTGTGATTATTTTAATCAGCATATTCCTTCATAATGAGGTGAATTAATGCTGATTGGATCTTCTTTTTATACGGAGGCCTTCTTTTACTATAAATGATGATTAGAGGTTAGAGGTAGAATCCATCTCAGAACTAACAATTCTCTAGCTTGTTCTTTCTCTCCCTCTCTTTCTCTCTTCAGTGTATCTTCTATGCACTATAGTCTAGATTCTAGTAGTCTAAACTCGTGTGGATAATTGGGTAGATTTTGCTATGTCTAGATCTGGTAAGATTTTGACCCGACTCTTATTTCAGTTTATTATTTATTTTAATATTCCTTTAGTTATAGAAAAAAAAAGGTTAAGAAAATATGTATATTTTTAGATCGGAGGAAATACACCTACAAATTTATTGCCACTTGTTTCCACCACCCTGGTCCACTATATATATTTATATAGTCATCTTGTTCCTATTCACGTTAATTGTTTAAAAAAAAAACAGTATATTCTGTGGACAACTCAAGTATTTGATATTAAACAATTTTTTTAAATTGTATAAATTAATTGAGATTTACTTATACTTAAACATAGAATGAATTGGTTTTGTAATTAAGATCAATATTAGCGATACTAATGGTTTCAACCTTTAAATGGTTTGAAAAAGAGTTCTAGAAACTCTGGCTAAAAAACAAAAATGTTCTAGAAACAGATGACATGAGACAGAGTGTGTGCAAAATAATCATAGCCAATCAGGGTGCTAACTTATAGATATTATACTCCCTTTGTTAAAAAAAATATAAAGATAATGATGTTTTCATTAAAAAAAATCAGTAATTAGGGGTGTAATTAATAATATTTTTTAAATGAGAAATTCTATTAAATAAAGTTGAATATGAAAATAATGTACAATTTTAAGTGCAATTAACTAACTCATTGAGAGATATAATTTAGTTAAAAATGCCTTATAACATTGAATGGGAATAAGAAAAAAGCATTTTAATTTAGGTTATTTTAGAATAAGATTTTGTTTTAGCCACGTAATTCACTATTCTTTTAATAATAGGGAAAATGCATTATATTAAACAAACAAAAAAATGTACAAACTTGAGAACTTCAACTAGTAGAACGACAGCATAACACGACCGCACACAACACATAGTAAAACATGGAAAGTTATAACGTAATAGTGACACAAGAAACCAAAGCATCTGAGAGAGAAATAAACCAAACTTGCAAAATATCCCCAATTAATCCACATACAAGAGGTTTGCTGTCAGGCATGATTGCAAGAGACAGATGATTGGAGAATTTGTGCACCAAGCACCATCCCGCAATCACAATAATAGAGTGAATGCTTTGCAAAACGGTTTGAGCGCGTCCCCTTCAGTCCAAGAACATGTGTGGCTTATTATATAACCGAACACAGTATCCAAACAACACGCACAAGCATTCCAATATTCATACCATACTATAAGTATGTTCTTAGCTTCTTAAAGCTCGTCATGGTCGCGGTCATCTTGTGGTTTACCATGATGATCATGTTCATCAAGCCCATGACTGTTGCGAGGCAACATTGGCCTAAGAGAGGGCCAACAGTCAATGATTTTCTTTACACCTGAACCAGTTATATAGTCATTGCCAAAATTGGTAATTGCATATTGGTCTCCTTTGAAAATGTAAGCTTTGTTTTTCGTGTGAGATGCAAAAGCTGCTTCTATTCCACTTTCAAAGATAGTGCCTCTCAAACAATTAAAGCTTTGGTTCATGTTATGAATGGTAATTTGGGTCTTGGATTTATAGTCTATAACAGTACACTAGTTGCCTTTGAATAAGAAAGCTTGATGGCCTGAAGCTCCTCTAAAGGAAGAATTTATGCCATTCTCAAAAACTGTACCCTTAACGAAGGGAAACATTGATTGTCATTGGACCTTAGAGTATTTTGTCATTTGTGGATTTCAGAGCATAGTTTATGCAGGCACAAAGATTCCCAGAGAAGATGAATGCTTCCGTGCCATCAGTGTAAAATGCACAGTCTATTCCATATTTCTCCAAATGCTGTACCAACAAGAGGTTGAAATGTATCACAAATCAAAAGTAACCCTTGATAATCCTGTCGCCTGTTGATCCCGGATAATCCACGAGCACATATTCATTTTTCATGAATAAATAGGCTTCATTGGCATTACGTGCACGCAATCCAGCATTGATGTAGCTTTGTATGTCATCTACTCCATTGGTATACCAATCATATGCTTCATCTGAGTAGACTGGTCTTCTCTCTCTCACATCATCTGAAGGTATTATAAAATTTTGAGCTTTTTCAGTTCCTTACGTCCAGTAGTTTTATCCACGTACTCAACTACAGGGCCCCGAAGGCTGAGCAGCCTAGGCGGATCCGACTGTGGATTAAAATTAGCATTTAAGATGAGGGTATCATCAACTCTCACACATCTTGTATATCTGCACAACAACAAAGCTAAAGAAAATAACTATGTATAATGTATTTTTAGGTTGTCCAAATAAAGATGGATTTGAGCCAATATAAGAGAAGTCCCATATCAAATAAATTAAGTCATTTTGTTGGATTTTATTGATGTTAAGATTATGTATGATTGAATTTGGTTTATTGATATAAGATGTTAGGTTTGAAAAGAGGGTTTGAGCCCGGGGAATACTTATATTAATGAATTTGTTATACTTAATTTAGTCAATTAGTTATAATTTTATAACACTTGTTAATGTTATTGGAGACTATTAGATGTTGATTGCCATTGAACCATACAGTAGCACTCTAAGGATATATTATCTTAATTCTCTTGGTGAGAAACCAGAGCATAGGCAAATTTTATTGAAATTAATTAATAAGTAAGTGCAAAAAATAAGTATCTCATATATTTATCTGTTTATTTTTATATTGACATATTTTTTTCTTTTTTTACGAGGGCAATTGTGTTATACTGCATAAACACTAAACAAACAATTCCAAGGTCATTTATAAATTTTGATGCAGCCTACACTTGAAAAATAATAAAGGTAATTAATATCATTTATAATTTAAATATTCATAATTTTTTAATGCACTAATATGTACTCATTGTGTAGTGCCTAAGACAAATGAAAAATAGCTTGGATTGTGGCTTTTGCATTATGAGGTTCATAAAAGACATCATTATTCATAATGAAAGTATAATTACTACGATGGTATGTCAACAATTTTCACTTTATAATTGCTAATGAATTTAATTTATTAAAATAAATTTATGGTGGATAATTTATATATTGTAGTACTATGAAGATTCCTACATTAAAGAATTCGGGTAGGCACAAATAAATGAGATAATTGAAGAGTGGTGCTAATACATATTTCAAATGTGGTCATTGTATAAAGATGAAAATCAATAGAGTTAGCAAATGTATGATTAGTGTTTATAGTTTTATTAGTTTTTATTAATTACTTGATATTAGTTAGTAAATTACTTTAAACAATCCTAAACATTGACTAATTGATAGATTAGAATAAGAGATTAGATTTTGTTTCATTTTGCATTGATTATAATTCAATTTTAATTGATATTCATGTATGAAAATGTTGTAATTGTTATCTGATTATTATTTGTATAGTTGTTATAGGAAGCCGCTATAAATAACAAACCTCAATATAAAAAAAAAAAAACATAGAATAGATGATGAGTAAATAAATTGCCAATGATTTATAGTGACAATAAATGATGGGTAAATATTTAACCGTCATTTATTTTATGGTAATTCTTACTTAACCAAATAATAAATGACGGGTAAATATTTACCCTTCATTATAAATGACGAGCAAATAGTTACTCGTTATTTATGTGAAGAATAAATGACGGGTATTTTTAACACTGGTTATTTATTTTGACATAAGACACAAAAAATATATTTTAAATAATATGTTATTTAATCGTCATTTATATAAAGGAATAAATGATAGGTAAATAATTGTAATTTATTTGAGGATAATTTTAGTGACAGAATCATAAATGACGGTTCATTTATAAGTACAAATAATTATCATTTATATTGTTTTTTGTATTAGGATATACATATGAAAAGGGAGAGGTCTCATCTTCAAGTTGAGACAAAGTCACAAATAAATAGAATTAAAATAGGTCGTTGACATGACAACCATGTGGCATGGAGATCCAATTAACAGGGAATGTGTACCTAAAGGGTGATTGAGAGTGACATGGTAGTAGATGAACCCATTTAGTGACGGATTTGGCTGATTGGTAACATATCCATCTAAAATTAGCGATGGATTTGACTGATTAGTGACAGATTAGTCAATCATTGATTAGTGATCGTTTCTGGGCAGTCGCTGCTTATTTCTAGCATGTATTACTCATTATGATATGGGAAAGTTGATCAATTTAAAACTTACATTGATCCAACTTCACGTTGATGAGGTATAATTGAGCAGAGCGAATGTATTGAGGTGCAATGCCACCAATGAAGGAAACTTCATCTTGGGCAGGGTATTCATAGAGATGACCCAGTGTCTGAGAAACCCAAATACCACCAGGAGCATTGATCTCGTAGTGGTAGACTCGCATAGATTGTGCAGGTTGGAGGCTGGGGCTTGGATGCCAAGCCCTATTAAGTGTGGTGCTAACGAAAGCATGTGTTGCAGCCCTAGTTGATTCAAGAGGCCTACCAGCGTTATGGACATAATGATGCAAATTGAAGTCAGTGGTTTCGGGGATGTTCTCTTCACGTCTTGCTTGAAATCCATGAGCAATGACTTGTTGATAAGGAGTCAAGTCCCAACGGAACACACGCCTCCTGATACCTTGGTCATCTTCACTACTTCTGTATACGATATCATCCAACCGAGGATTTCCCAAAGGGCCACAATTCATATAGTAAGTATGTTCCAACAAATGTTGAACTCCCAATTCCTCAGATTGGTTCAAAGGCTGAGGATAGAGTGCTGCAGTCCCTCTCCAAGCTGAGTCTGATGGGATTGACATGTTTCTTCTTAACAGAGGGAATAAGACATGTTGCAAGATGGGTTTGGATGGATGGATATATACACAAGCCCGGGAGAACGAGAAATTAACGTGAAATATATATATAATTAGAAACCAAATCAATCTAAAAGTACAGGAAACGCAATGTGATTTTGCAAATTAAGGAGGACGATTGCGTTTTTGCAAGAGGACAACATCATGCATAGTACTCATTCGTGAACTTTAGTATAAAACCTTGCTCTATTTCCCATGAAACTATTAGCAGCCCCATATCTTCTACCCAATGCGTGTCACATCAGCCACCTATACTCTTTTAATTTTCATTTTAATCAATATACACTCCCAAGGCTGCTAATTATAGATAAAATTAATTAATTTCATGATTTTTAAGAAATGATAATTGATATTCTTAAATTTGTAAATAAAATATGTGATTTTCTAATTTTTGTCCTTCATTAAAAATAATGACAACAATAAATTATATCTAGAAATTATAAGTGTGTTGACAACTTGGTACAAAAAATAAGTAGGGATAATATTAGGAGAATAAAAGGAGAATGACAAATAAGAACCCTTGAAAATATGAAGGACCTTTTACAATTGAAATATCAAGAATTTACAATTGAAACATTAAGATTTACAACTCAAAAGTTTTTATTTTTTATTAATTTCTTTAAAGGGTCTTCAATTGTCATTCTCTCAAAAATAAAGTAACTATCATCCTCTTTGTTTAGTATTATAAAGTACTTTTAATTAATTTACATCTCCCAATAAGTTAATTAATAGAATTTGAAATCAATCATTCTTTTTATATTTTCTCCTTATTTAATAAATTGTCTCAATTAGAAAACCTTATCAACTAAACCCAGTGATATTTTTAGAAAAATTGTATTAATCACACCTTAAAATACTCAAATGCCTTATATTTTTAAATATAATATTTCAAAAAAGTGACTTATAATACTAAATGGAGAGAGTATTTCTTCCATCGCAAATTATAAGGCAATTTTGTAGGTGATTCGACGTCCCATAATATAAGATAATTTGATAAAAATAAATTTTTATTAAATATATTTTACTAATATTACCCTTCACTTTTTATTATATTCTCTCACTAGGGTTATTAAATAAAAGGTATTTTTAAAAATTTATTTTTTTCTGAAAATAACAAGGTTATAAAATATATGTAATGAGTTTTACTCGCATGTAAATGTTATATAAAATTATCATATAAATTGGGATGAAGGGAGTACTTCATCCGTTCAATATTATAAGACATTTTTAATCGAGTTACACTACCAATAAGTTAATTAATTATTTTTAAAATTACACATTTTTTTTATTTACTCTTATTTAATAAGGTGTCTCAATTAGAAAATCTTAGAGAAAATTACATCTAGGCCTTACACAAGAAAATTAATTATTACAAAGTTAATTGACAACTGAATTAAGAAGATTGACAATAGACTTTGTAGCAATTAATTTTCTTGTGTGGAACTTCAATATAATTCTCCCAAAATCTTATTAATTACAGCCCTTAATTAAGGATATTTTTGAAAAACATCTTTAATTACATCTTAAAAAATTAAAAATGCTTTTTATTTTTTGACATATTACCCTAAAAAATGCTTTATATTTTTAAGGGAGGGAGTATTTCTTTGCTATGTATTTAGAATTAAATAAGGTTTGAAATCTTTACCCATAATTTGGACTGAATGCAATCTTTACGAAATCACTGCTTGAAGCGCAAGAAGCTTATAATGATTTATGTGATCCTATTGTAGCAATGAAGAGCCTAGATATAATTATCCGTGATTTCTAAGATGCGTTTTGTTATGATATTAAATTTTTTTTTTGTGAATATTATTATATTAATTTTTACTTATTACTTCTTCCAGTTTTTTTATATAAGATGAAGTTTGAAAGATTCCTCTGGTCCCAAATATTAGAAGAAATTAGAGTAATTAATGATTTTTTTTTCAATTTTATCCCTTATTTATTTATTTATTGTTATTTGAATTTTTAAAAAAAATTTATTATGGTCATTAATTACAGAGAATGTTAAAATTGGAAGGTTACACATTTTTTACAATTTCAAAGTTATAACAAACATTTATTAATAAGTGTAGTTTGTTAATTTCATCTTATATTAAAGATTAGAGTAGTATATTATTACTCCCTTCTTTTTAGATCATTCTCTAATTCAAAAATTTTTATGGATGCAATGCCTTCAAGTCCCTTCTTTGCTTGCAAGTAAGATTATCCAAAAATAGTCTTTGGTTGCAAGCTACCCATGAGAGACTCCCAACAAATTAAACAGTGTGAGAGCTTCTAGAGGAATGAGTATGAGCATGAGTGTCCTTTTGAATGTCACTTAGAAGAAAATACACTTCATATATTAAGATGAAGATGATACTACATTTTTATATTCACTGAACACACATGATACAACTTGCTCTAAATATGTTCAATTTTTACAAATTGATTTGCATAAGTTTCAAGTCATTCTATTAACTTTACAAATAGACTAGGCGTTTTTACTTTATTAAGCTGTAAATTTCTAGGTTTGGCTTATAAATTTAAAAGGATGTCTCAAAAATTTATAAAGTAGACTTATAAATCAATTTGTAAACTTTGAACAACCATTGCAAAAATTATGTCAAATCACCTTTAAATCTATCGTGCATCTTTAAAATTATAACATTGACTTGTCAACATTAAAGTATTACATTTTTTTTCTTTTAGAAATTTACTGATACGGGATGGAAACGAACGTGCTAGAAAACAAGACAATCAAGAGTGAGACCTTCAGAGAACCTGCTCTATAGCAACCAAACACAGAAATTCAGTAGATAATTAAAAGGTACGCAGTATCTTTGGAGAACTTGTCTATAACAACCCTAACTTTGGAGACACCACAAAGGGAATGATTAGTCCCTTGATCATGTCAAAGTATTATCAGAAAAATACGAGGATGCAAGCAAATCTCACGCGAGAGAAATAATTTTCAAAAGAGAATTCTTATTCAATCCTTCAAAATTGAAGTGGTGCAATATAATATAAGGTGCCTACTTGTAAGCCTAATAATAAAGGGAGAATAACAATTAAGGACCTTCAAAGAATATTAATTCCAATTATGGACCATAAAATTTTGAAATCTCAGTTAAGGACCATGGTCCTTAATTGTGATAAAAAAAATATAATTTGTGAGGTGGGATTCACTAACGTGACTTAGAGATTCACTAATTCAATTTGAGAAAATTACTAACATATATTGTGAAAACATGAAACCTCACTTGGGAATGAATTATTTAACAAAAAGCTCCACTTGAAAATTCACTAACCCGACTTGAAAAAATTTCTAACGTATATTGTGAAAATATGAAACTCCACTTGAGAATCAAATGTTTAATAAAAAGCGCCACTTGAAAATTCACTAACTAGATTTGAAAAAAATTTTAACGTATATTGTGAAAAAAATGAAACTTCACTTGAGAATCAATTGTTTAATAAAAAGTGACTTGTCCAAATTGGTGTTTTTTATTAAACAATCAATTCTCAAGTAGAGTTTCATGTTTTCACAATATATGTTAGAAATTTTTTCAAGTCGAGTTAGTGAATTCTCAAATGGTGCTTTTTATTAAACAATTAATTTTCAAGTAGGGTTTTATATTTTCACAATATATGTTACAATTTTTCTTAAGTTGAGTTAGTGAATTTCCAAGTGGTAATAGTGAATTCCATCTCACAAATTACATTTTTTTTATCACAATTAAGGACCATGGTCATTAATTGGGATTTTAAAATGTCATGATCCGTAATTGGAATTAATGTTCTTAGAAGGTCCTTAATTATCATCCGATCCTAGAAGGAGGTGTGTGGCGCCTCCCACCTTACAAGAATGGAAAACTTTCCTAAAACACTAGTGTTTAGAAAATAGGAAACCTTCCTAAAGAACAGCCATCACCTAGAAAATAGGAAACATTCTAGAAACTTTCTTAAAAGTTAACAATTTTATATGCAACTTTTGGGTATATAACATAAATTAGGAAATTAGGAAAAGTAAAATCTAATCTTAATAATTTGAGACGCCACTATTCTGCTTCTAGATGCTCTTGGATGTCACTTTTTTTTTTTCTCCCTAAAAGTATATTCTTCTCACGTGGAATTTTAAGTGAATTTTTCAATCTAAACTTCATTGTTCCTTATGTACATCCTTTGGTTGGGCTTTTAACATAGTACCAATCATCATTTTAAGACCTTCTAAATGGATCTTCATTTCATTATTTGTGTGTATATACATGCATGGCTATTTGAGCATCCATTTAGGTTTGAATAAGCCTAATTCACGTTCTAAAATTCGATCCTATGATTTATTAGACAAACCATTTAGGACCCAATTTAGCACATTAAAGTTCCATTGAACTCTTTCATGTCCATAAATATAAGTTTATTGAGCCTTCAACTGGTTGGAAATTGACTCTAGTTGTTTTTCTGGGAAAATGACAATTAGGGACCTTGTAGACATTAATGACAATTGAAGACCTTGAAATATTAAAATGACATAAATGGACCATAGTCGTTACTTGCATGCAATTAAAATATTTCTAATTATTGAGATAACCAATAGAAGGTCATTCATAAATTTAAGAAAAGTTGGTTATGAATTTAAGTAAGATAAATTATGAATATATAGAAAGTTAATTGTCAATATATATATATATATATATAATGTTTATTTGTAAATTTAAGGAGACCCACTTATGAATTTTGGAAAGTTGCTTGTGATTATGTGGAATGTCAGTTGTAAATGGATCATATTCAAAAATATGAGAGGTTCCTAAATCATTGATTTATAATTAAAAGTATTCATATTCATTCACAATTGAAGTTATAAATTGACTATTAACCTTCCTAAAATTCATAATGACTATTCTTAAATTTATAAGTGACAGAATAAAATTATTTATCAATTCACAATTGATTTTTTATTGATTTAC